AGTTATCAAACATTTCCTAAGAAAAAACTTTATATTTTATCTGTTATTTTCAGTAATTAATTGCTGTACGGGTTATGTAGATTTGACTGATATCACAACCAGATATCTGCATCTTAGTGGTACATTTTTTCTTAGCTTTGGGCTGTTGTGTTGAGTTTTTTGTTGTTGTTTTTTTTTATTTGCAAGATCTTTTGTTACATCTGAACCTGCAGTTTTTTGTTAGTGATTTTTTGCATGTTTCGGTATTTCTGTGTTGTGTGTGGTTAATTTTTTCTTGACAAAATTTTATCACATTTTAATCTTTTTAGGAATCAATGAAGATAGTTTTAATAGGCTTAGATTTTTCTGTAATGTAGTGTTTATTATGTAGCATGTTTTTATATTATCTATGCATGCATTTTCTGTTATCTCTGTTTGGTGTTTGTATACGCTTCTTTGTTCATGATTTTTTTTGTAACGAAATTCGGTGGAATTTTGTGAATACTTTGTATTTAGTTATTAATAATATTTATTAGGTTCTGTTGTCGTGGTCAACCTGTCAAAAGTGCTCAGGTTATAGGGTTTCTTATTTTTGTCTTTAATTAAGTTTTTGAACTTGTGTTTTCCAAGTATCCTGAATATACCTAGCAAGTATGATACTAATATCAGCAAGTGTATTCTTGATAATTTTTTGCCAGTGTTAAGTAGTTGAAATTGTGATGTCTTTGAAGTGGCAGAATGGATTGACCTAGAAAATTATCTCGGGTTTACTCAACCATCTTCTTCATACACTGGTCTTGAGTTGCCTTACGGTTTACTCAACCATCTTCTTCATAAACTGGTCTTGAGTTGCCTTCTTCTTTATCCAGCTCCAAGCCCATACAAGTACCTCAAATTCAGAGTCACTTGTGGTGTCCTCTTCCTCCTTTCCACAAGCTCTTTCTCCTCTCAATAGGTGGTGCAAAAAGATTGTAAATATAAACTTGTATGTTAGGTGTAGTAACTTGGTGGAATTTTGCATACTCCCCATTTAGTGTTTTTGCTGACCATTTAGAAAATAATCTGTAATAAAATAGATTTTCGCTGAAAAAAAATGTTTGAAATTGAACCCAGTTATAAAACAAATGCATATATTTTCAGTACAATTAAATGATGTAAGTGGAGAAACTGTAGTTTTAATTCTTAGTTGAGCATGAAGTGCATGTCATACTGTAAATATTAAAGGATTTGTCTTTGTTTTTAAACTAATTAACTTTTGAAATCATTCTTTAATACAATGTGATGTTATTTCATGATTTTTTTTTATAAATTTATATTGGGGATGGACCGGATGTTGATTACTGGACTTGAAGGTTTTAGAAAAAAGATAATTTTTCTGAGTGAATTTCTGAGATTGAAATACAATTATTTTAAAGCTGGAAAACATTTCGGTTACTATATCTGAAAGGTAAGATCTTGAAAATCTAATTTCAGCTTTATTTGTATGTTGGATAATTTCCTAAGTGTCAGATAAATTCTGATCTGAAGAGGTGACTTGGTTTGATATTTTCAGTTCTCAATACATCTATTATAACAAATATATTTATTTAAGTGTTTTTATGTAAAAATTTATGTTTCTGCAATTTTTTTCAATACCAAAATTCAAATATTATCGAGTCATGTACGTGCTGCGAATAATGGTTCGCAAATATCCTGTTCTGTAATATGTAACTAAGATGATATCCCTGATAAAAAAAAAAAAGAATTGCAAGGTAGAAATGTAATAGCAGTAGAAGAATGATTCTCTCTAAAGAAAGCAACTTCTTTTAAAGGATCTTAAGTAATCATGTCTTAACAAAATCTTTGTTCTTCATCACAGTTGTATACAAAAAGTAGATAGAATGTTCCTGTGTGATAAATTGGGTTGTTGGTATTCATAGAAATCATGGTTTACTAATCGACATAACCGTTCAATGCACGGGGAAGACGTAGAGCTATGCTGGAGGGGGTCAGATATGAATGCTGTTTCTTACTGCCTGTTAGAAAGGGCCACAGAGATGTTTTAATAATGGTTTAGATTAACTACTTATTTTACAGTTATTTTGTTTGAAATTGTTTCTTAGAATACTTGATTATTGCAAGGTTGTTTAACCTATAGAATGGTTTTTTTTGTTTAAATGCTAGCTCAATCCCTTGTTGGAGAACCAGAAATCTTTAGCGATTCTATTATGGTTAAAAAGAAGAGTGGGGTTAATTCGAGGCGTAAAGCCCAGCAACCACCAGGAGAAGCAAGTGAGACATCAGATGATGAAATGCAGACAAGTCAGACAGGTAGTTACATCTAATAATGCATTCATTCCTTAAACTAGAAGCTATTGAACCGGTGCCTCATCTTATGAATCCAGAATTTATTTAAAGTGAAAACTGGGAGTGGGTGATTACTAACTACCACATTCCAATCGACACGACTCCTGAGCTATACCAGTTAGTTTATAAGGCCCAAAACCCACTTGTTGCCCACAATTTGATGATGTTTGACTGGAATATGAATTT